AGGATCCATGCCCAAGTTTTAATTTATCGAGTGTGAAACACCCAGTTGCTGGTGTTTGCAAGCCCCCGCAGGGTTTTAACGTGGATCGTGAATTCTGTGGCGAAAAAATTGGAAACCTGGATGAAAGGACACTTTTCAGGTTAACACCCCCAAATGTGGGTTTCTTACTTTTGAAGCTGCAGGCCCTCGGCCCTCCGGTGTCATCAAGCATGGCTAGTTGGGAAATCCCCGAACTAAATGGAGGCATTCATAGTAAAATCTGGTATACCCTCTGGTAAACGTTTACATAACTATGGAAAATTACCATTTTTTGTAGGTAAATCCACTATAAATGGTCATTTTCAATAGCTATTTTGACATAACCAGGCCGGGTAAATGCTGGATCTTCCATTGCTATGTTGGATTTCCGGTGGGTATGCAGTAACTGGGGGGCCTACCCAGTTCATCATTACTTGCGGCTACGTTTCTTTACGGACTACCCTCTGGTGCCCTCAAACGTGGCTACTTGGAACATCCTCTATAAATGGAGCTGAAAAATTGGGCTTAGTCATCTATGTTTTATGTTTTTTACATCTATGTGGTAATTGAACATCTCATATATATCTATATAAATTGGGCTTAGTCATCTATTTCAGGAAGCTCATCTATAAATGTGGATGTTCAACTGCCATGTTTGAAAACGGCGCAGCCCCTATGGATGCGAGATGTTCACTCACTTAGCTCCAAAAACTCGGGTCCATGGATGTCCATACTGTAGATATACCCTCTGGTAATTTAACGTAGCTATTGAAAATGGCCTTTTCACTTTGTTTCCGGGCCCCCCCCCGGTCTTAGACAAAAAGGGGACCCTGCCTCGACGGTTTGACCACACCTGGTGTTCAGGGGGTTGGAACTAAGCGCCTCGAACGTCCGCGACCAGCTTCTGCCGTTGTTTCGTCACCTGCATGCGTTTATCCCAGGTCATACCCGCATTCTTTTGGTCACATTCCCATTGTCTGCAGTCTTGTTCAAAAAGCCTGGGTAACGCTTTCCCGTTCTGAAGGTACCACTGCGCTTGCAGTGCCACTTCCCGTTGTCCCTCAAACTCCGGGCGAAGTTGAAAACCACTGCGAAATCCTTTATCACCTAACATGTACATGGATCTGACTTGGCCGTAAGGTACCGCAGGAGTCAGTCTTTCTGGAATAAGATCAAGGACCTGTTTGACCAGGCCACAAGCCGTTTCGCTCTGCTCAACCATGGTTACCTGATGCGCGCGCGCCTGTGCATAGTTGGTGATGAAGATGACGTAGGTGTCCCCGTCAGTGTTTTGGCGTTTCACCGGGAGGTATGCACGCAAGTGTTTCATGATGGCCAGTGCCACCTCGATCCAAGAAATACCTACCACTTTGTTTTGGGGGCCCACGTATGTTGTGGGCCATTTGCACGTGAGCAACCATTGCTGACATGCCCATGCGACTTGAAGCCCAAAGGCGCAATCTCTGAGCCCCTGGTTTTGTAGTTGGCGTCTCGGCGGAGACCAAAGTTCATCTGCAGTCCATGCTCCCAAAAAACTTACAGGATCATTCTGGACTTCTTCTGTGGGCATATATGCCTTGGTTACTGCTTGTGCTCGGGCTCTCGCATTCTGCAGCGCAAGGATATAGTTGAAAACTTGACTCAGGTGGGTTTGGTCCTGGTGGACACTTACATGGTATGCTTCCAGTTCGGACAGGATCTCCGGCATGGATGTATTCAGGGCATGTGCGGCTTGGCCATCCGCTTTTTGGTTTCCTAAGCCATGATAGATATCTAAAAGATCTGTGAGCTTTTGCAGCTCCCTGTGCGCCTTAATTTTGTGGACCTTGTGGCCCTGTTTTTTGGCAACAAAGATTCTGCACATGAGATCATAGTGTGGATTATCTATAAAGGATTGGGTGGAGGAGGCCATTGTAGCTTTTTCAAACGCACTTTTTGCCACCGAACTGTCGGTGTAGAGCTGGAATGCAGGAAGTGTCTCGGTAGCCAATACTATGATCATGAGTTCCGCACGATGGATGGTTTGTTTATCTGGCAGGCGGCCATGTGCCAGTGGTGTGAGTGTGTCTGGGTGCTCTTGGGTTGTTAGAAATCGCATTGCTTGTGCTTGTCTACACTGATCGTCAGGGGCCACATCTGCGATGAGGGCATATGCTGCAAACCTGGTTTCTGTCGCGGCTGGGTACCTGCAGCTCCCGTCGGAGTACAGGTAAGGGCCGGATGCATGGTTCATCTGGGCCAGCTGTTGGCACGCCTGTGCCGGCATGACTGCCTCCGGAAGGCTGTGCCTTAAGGCATGGATAAAATCATGCATTTCATGTTTGTATAACACCGGCCAGTCAATCCAGCCTGGGCATTCGTCCTGAAGGAGTGCAACTGCTGCTGCATGTTCTGCTCTGATCTCCTGCATGGATGGGCAGTGCAAAAACCTGTGCTCCTTAGAGTCTGGTTCTTGGCATAGAGGGCATGTACCGTCACAGGTACCATCATACTTGGCTTTTTGATGCTCCGTCTGGAAAGCTTGTCCTATTTCATGCAGGAGTTTTCTCTGATCGGCTGTTGGGAACCTTTTGATAACCTGTACTGTCGCGGGCACATCCGCTTCTGGATATGAGTACAAGGTAAATCGTTTGGTATGTATTTTGACTGCTGTTTCATTCCATGCTTGTTGGGCCCAATAGGTTAGGTCTTGAATGGTGGATTGTAAGATGTTGAGTGTTAGGTGCTTGGCGACTTGAATATCCCCTTCCTTTGTAATTGCCCAACCCAGTTGGAGGATATTACTTTTCAGGGTGCCTGCTGGCCCCTTAGTGGTGCCTATGATGGCTCTGTGCCTGGAGGCTGTTGTTAGGAAGGCAAGGCGTTCCGCTTCGCTGGCTCGAACCAGCCATTGGCGTGCTTTCTTCATGGACTGGATGATGACATGCAGGCCTGGATCCAGTAGCATGTGTTGTGAAAACATGAGCAAAATAGCTGGCGACATGCATCTAGAGGACGTGTTCAACAAGGACTCGGCAACCAGGTGCCTGATTTTGGTCAGATGCTCTTGGCCTATGGGTGTTATTTCCGCTCCATGAAACATCGCAGGATACACTGACGCCTTGATGACGTGTGCCTTCACCTCCAGAGGCCATTGTTGGTGTTTGATCCTCTGGAGGCGGGCCTTGCCTTCTTCCATTCTGGTGTGGAGATTGCCGAGTTTCGCCGCCCCTGTATATTGCATTTGTAGTCCTAGGTCCTTTGCTGTGTGGACCTTCGCTGGGGCAGCCTGGTCAGGATGAAGTGTTGCTGCTGCTGTTTGAATTTCAGTTTCTGCGATCGGGTCGGATGCCCAGATCCAGGTCTTCTTCAGGTCAACTTGCAGCTTTGCCTGTCGACAGATTTCTAAGGTTGCTTTGGCTATGGGTGCATGTCTGGCATGATCAGTGCATGCCCAGCTCCAGTTGTCTGCAAAGGCGCTAATGCGCACTCCATTGGCTGTATGTGGTGTTTGGAATATCCAGAGTGCTGCGATGGCAATCATGACAACTACGGAGATGGGGTCTCCTTCTGCGCATCCTGTGGTGGAGGTGATTTTATCACTAACTTCCCCTTGGATTTCCCAGTACCTATTAAGGCCCTTAGTAGTTTCTTCCCATTTGAGTACAATTTGGTCAGGGCAGCCGATTGCTCGGAGGGCACGGCTGGCAAATTTTCTTCGAATGAGATTAAAACATTTAACAAGGTCTAAGGTGGCGCCTGCCCGGCTGGTCTTTTGGTGGGCGAGCTGCTCCAGCCATTGCTGCGTGTCATATGCCGCTTCATAGGCCCCGCGGCCTTTCAGGAAGCCGGTTACCTGGGGAGGTATCCATTGTGATAGGTGGGCAATTGCTTGGTGCGTGACCAACCTGGCCCAGATTCTATAAATTTGTGGTAGGATGGTGATGGGTCTAGTTTCGGAGGCCTGGCAAAGGCCGAACTTTTTGGCAAGGGGAATTGTGCGGCCGCACATTAGGTTATGAGGGAGGACTAGTGGATGATCATTAATAATTTGCACCAGGTCACTTATGGCTGCTTTTGGGAGCATTTGCAGGTCGCTGGCATGGATTCCATCTGTACCTGGTGCTGAGTGGCTTTTGGTAGTTTTGATAATGTACATCCAAAGGTCTACATTTTGGGTATCAATTTGTAGGTCAGGGATGTCATTAGGCAGTGCGGCAACCAGCTGGTCGAAGTCAGCGATGTCTGTTTCAGTCATCGCATCCTGTGCTGGTTCGCGTTGCCAGAAAGGTATCCAGTATTGGTTGAGTTGTTGAAATACATCCCCAATCTGGGTGTAGTGTTTCAACTGTGTGACGGTACGCTCTCCGTCTGGCTGTGGTGTCCCTGCTGGGATCCTTACTGTGATGTAGTGCTCATTGGTATCAATCAGTGTGCAGCTGAGTTGGTCCAGTTGCACCGGAAAGGCGATGTCAAAACGGTGTCCTTGCCAGACTGCAAGTTCCACTATGGTATTGTTGTCTTCTGTATGGGTGTGTGTGATCAAACCCTGTTCTTGCAACTGCTCGGCAACTGTGTGTAAACAAGGTTTTTTCAACCCTCTGGCTGTGGCAAAAGCCTTGGACCTGTGTCCGGTGTGGTCTTGCTGGTTGTTCCATTGTATCAGCTTGGCACGAGTGCTGGCATCTTGTCTAACCTTAGCATCTACTTCATGCTGAAGGAGCTGTTCCATTGTTAGCAGCAATTCGATCTGTGGTACCTGGGCTGGCAGGGGCCCAATTTCAGGCGTGTTTTGGGCCCAGTGGGCAAAGGAGGGATAAAAGCATCTGTTATACGCAATGGCATTCCATTCCAATTGTAGTTGTTGTCTTCTCTGCGGTGTGCTATGTAGTGACATGGGTTTTTTTTGGAGTTGCCTCCTGAGTGATTGAATGCGTCGGATCTGGACTACTTTTCTTTTGGTTCGGATCGCAAAAACTTCACCCGGTGGTTCATAATCTCCTTGTCTCCCACGTCTAACCTGAGATTGGAGGGGAATTTTTTGGGTATAGGATTATTACCCCTACCTTGGAACGCCTTTGGTACTCTATTCATGGGGTGTTTTTCTGGGTCGCATCTATGCTGCTTTTGGATGGTGCAGTCCACCAATTTTTCGGCTGTACGGCACCATTCTTGAATGGTGTTACATTGGGGCCATCCAGACTGCTCTACCAGCTGGTGCATGTTGGTTGGGTCAACTGGCAACTGCGACCAGGGTTTTGGTGTGCGCAAGCGGTGCTGGAACAGCTGGCAACCAGGTAAATCAAAGGACAAAAAGACTGGGTCATGGCAGTCAAAAAGCTTATCTTTGTTTACACTGATAGATTTTAAATACGGGACCAGGCATGGGCTTATGAGGGCACTATCGGGGATGGTGGCTTCATAACAGGTTTTTGCCATGGGCTGGCCATGTAGGACAGTATGCAAGTATTCAAGATGTTGGTATCCCTCCTCGAAAAGTGGTTGGCACGATTCCGATTCTTGGATGGGCATATTGAAATCACCTGCAAAAATACAAGGTAGGTTTAATTGTTTGGATCGGGTGATAGCTTCCGCAAGGATTGCTTCTGTCTGTTCTACGGCTTGGGGTATTGATCGTGTGAGGCCATAGATAACAAAGAACTGAATATGTACAGCCCCGAATCTGATTATGGAGTGCTGGAGCCTAGTGGTGTAGATCCAGTCCGGGCTGGATGGGTTCCTGGAGGCCCTGGCTGGGTACCGGCTGGCTATTGCCGTACCTCCAGCACGCCCTCTTTCGCTAGGTTGAAAATCAACTCTTTGCCGCTGCGGCGGGACAGGATCGGACCACAACATGGTGTACCCAAGCTGTCTGAATTGGCTTGTCAGGGTGCGTTGCGTCTGCACTGTGGCACTGGTCTCTGAAAACAACATGACATCTAAAGATTGAGCAAGTTGCTCAAATTCTTGTTTTTTATTTGTCATGGCAGTGGGGTTAATTATTCCCATGGTTACCCTTGGACCGGGATTTTTGGCTTCCCCTACTCTTATACCATGGTAAGGGGAAAAGCAGGCTGTTGAACTACTGGCGCTAGGATATTCTTGGAAATACTGTACAAAGGCAAAATGCCTGCTATGGCGCTGTATCGGATGCATGGATTGAGAAGCCAAACACTTCCCACTGTCAAGGTCGACGTTTCTGACGGCCAGACCGTAGGTTGTGTGAAGCTCATGGCGGCTGCTTGGCTCTGGCTGGCAACCTATGGAATTATGACAAGGACTCCTAATCCCCATGGTCACTTGTAATTTGAACCGGCCTGATTTGAATGGCTGGTTTGGCCGCAACGGATGGCTGGCCTCGGCTTGCAAGATTTTACATCTTATCATACTCACCTGCTGGACCTCTGTACTTCGGCAGTGGTTGGCTGGCAAGGCTGCGGATGCGTAAACCCTTGAAAAAATTCGGAAGGGATGTGGCCCTTCCCAACCCCTGGGCGGCTTGGCGGCTATGGCAGGACCAAGTCAGTCCTGGTGCATGTCTTCAGGCTCACCTTCTCTTTCGCGCTTTGATGGCTTCATCAAAAGCGCTTTGATCTCGGCTAAGTTCTGGTTGAGCTGATTGGATTGCACCTGCATTGCTTGATCCACCGATTTTTGGATGTCAGCCTTGGTGCGTTCTAATGTCTTGGCAAACAGGTGGTTGGTATCCGTGATCTGCTGCTGTACTTGCTGGAACTGCATGTCGGTTTGTTGCTGGCATTGTTGCTGTGTGGCTGCAACTGACTTGATGGTTGCTTCCAGCTGTTGAATCTTTGCGTCCTGCTGCTTAAACTTGGCTTCGATGGGTCCTTCATTGGACCTTGGTGGCTGTGTCGCTGGATGAGATCCTTGGCTGTTGCGGGCTAGATATGTTGCCCATGGATCTTGGCTGAGGGTTCCCTCTGGTGTGGTAGTTTGCTTCCCCTTACCTGAGCCTTTTCGAGGCCGCGGCCCCGCGATGATCGATTGGGCTGGCGCCTGTGTTTTCGGGGGAATGTACCTGGCAATCAACGGGTGGCCATTAAATTGGAGGAGTTGCTCGGGTGGTTGGTCGGCACTTGTGATCAACCAGGTGCGGGGACCTAGGGCTTTGATTGCACGGATCTTCCATTTATACAACAGGGCCCATTCATGAAGGCTTTGTTGGGTCACTCCAAACGGCAATGGCTCAAGCTTGAATGTGTGTGCTCCTCCTAACTGCTCTGGAACCTCTTCACCTGGGTGGAGGTTTGTCCATGCCAGCTTGAATCCGTCCTGTGTGTAGCGGAGCCCATATGACCGTTTGCCTCTGATGAGTCCGCAGCAGTTTTCTGTGCTGGCGGCTGTGGCTGTCACATGCGCCAAGTCCCCTTGAATCCATAGTACACGAAACTGTTCTTGTGGGCGTCCTGAGTCAGACTTTGGATTGATGAAGATCTTGTTGAATCCAGACTTCACTAACATGGGAATCAAAGTATCTTTTGTGACAGTGGCGTGAACCTGAATGGACTTGGCTGATGCTTCATTGGATGGGCCGTGTGTCCCTCTCAAGCTCCTGCCCCACATTGCTGTGACATGCTCTTTGGTTCCGTGTTCACCCAACATGTTTTTGAGTGTGGCAAAAGTGTGCGAGATGAGCTTGGCCCACTCGTCCTCCGGGAAGTCGCTCTTCCAAAGTGTCATGGATACCACATGGCAATCTTGCAGGTCGACTTTTTTGCTTTTATCTTCCTGAGGACTGACCGGCTTCGCACCCAACTGAACAAGTGAGCCTGACAGGATTACCTGGCGATCTTGGGCATCTCGACAGGGGAGGTGCAGTACCTGTACATGCAATTGCTGGCTCTCAACTGGGCTACCAAGCACAAACATGGCAAGTTCGTCCCTGCTTATGGTCTTACCTTCCCGTAACCATGGCATGGCATCTTGGTGAGACATGAGGATGACTCCGCATGCTGACGATGTCAATTGATTGATCTGTTGTGCTGCAGTGCCATCTGTGTTGAGCAAATATCCTGGGACCATACGGTACTGTGTCGGATCTGGTGCAACAGGCTGCATCTTGCGCTGTTTGGTGCTGATGTTGTGTGCTGTCTGCTTGGCTGCTTGCTTGAGTTTTTCACTGGGGATGTCGATTTGGCAGTCTTTGATGAGTTGGATCACTTTCTCAAATCGGTTGGTCCCCCCTGGCATCTGAGCTGCATACATGGCTTGCGTGGATCCTGCTTTGGTAAGTACATCTTCGACCGCGGATGTTACCCATTTCAGGTCAAAACCATTTTCCAGCAATGTGGATGCAATGGCATTCTTGATTTGTGTTCTCGTATGTTCCTTACCCCCACCTACAAGTGAATGCCCAATGTGGATGAGGATGGACTCTGCGTGTGCTGAGATCTTCATTTCTCCCACCTGGAGTGGTCCTGTGGCTCTCTTTCCGTTGTGGATCATTCTAGGCATAGCTGGGCAAAGCGCTGGCATCATGGTGGCTTCTAGAATACCTTCCAATTGGTTCATGGTGACATTTGGTGCCAGCTTTCCTTTCCACAGTGGTCGTGAAAGCCATTTGATGGTGACTGGCATGCCTTCGTCGTGAGAAAGTTCATCTAGAATCTTTCTGGACGCACGTACTGATAGGAGATTCCAAAACCCTTGTGGTGGCAGTGGGCATGATGTAGTGCTTGCGGAAAACTGGCAATGGAAACCTGTTTTTGTGAATTCCCCTGAAACCATCAATCCAAGCATTTGCAGTTCTTGTTGAGAAAGAAGTGACGTCCAAAATTCCATGGCAGTTTGGGCTTGAGTCCTATCACCATCTCCTGTCATGTGAAATGAACAATCAGTTGGGTCCCAATGGCAATGCGCATGTGTCAACAGTTTCAGTGCTGCTAAACTGAAAGTTGCTGGCTGCGTCATTCTGGACTGGTTCATCTCGTGAGGAAAAAGCAAAATATCCGGTTGCACTGTCTGATTCTTGGTAAGTGGTCCAAACTGGTCATGGACCGAATCACTCTGAAACCAAGCTGCAATCTGGCTGTTGAGATCTTGACCTTTATCGGCTTTGTACAGTGTGAGCACTCCATCTTCAACATATGCAACTGGGTATGTTGTGGTATCATGCAAGACAACATTGGCTGGATCGAATGCAACTCTAACTGCATGGCCTGTTCGTTCCATTTCATCATTGGCCAGTGCTTGGGCTTCAAACCGTTCTCCCCAAATGGCTGCGATCTCATGTGTGGGATAATGTGCAGTGATCCAAAACGTATGTCGTCCATCTTGTGTATCCAGGCATGCGGATTGTACTGGATGGAATTCTTGCGTGGCCTCAGTCTGTGATTCCTTATCCAGCTGTGTCAATTGAGAGACGTGATCATGTGTCATGAGTGATTGGAAACCATGCTGTGGGTGCCAAATTTGTTCGCTTGGAAAGTCATACCTATCGGCCTGGCAAAACAAATCTGTACAGTGGTGCATGTAATCATGGTCAAACTTGTCTTCATGTGCTGACGCAATGGTATTGACTTTCCCCCAAAATTGCACTGCCGAATTGGAGGCGGTGAGGCGTTCTTCCCAAATTTTGTCAATCAGACTCTGTACATTCAGGCTTGTGTATCTCTGTGCAATGCAGTTGATGGCGTTGGCAAGTGCGAGCATCGCATGTGCTGGCGTGATCATGTTACCTGTGTACAGCCATGCCTGTTCTTTGTCTGAGGGCAAAACCAGTCCTGCAGGCATCACATGATGTAGGCCTACTTCAATTGGGTGCCAATACCTGGGTGGCATGCAGTTTGGGCGGTGAAAATGCCCCATATATCCCTTGGTTGCCAGGCTGTCGGATGCCAGGCAGTGCTGCCTACCGTACTGAGCCATGAAGGTGGGCAGCTTGGTGTCTCCTGTGTAACAACGCATGGAAAGGACATCCTGGGTGCAGCTTGACTTCATGGACTGTGGCAACATGTGTGGTTGCTTGGCCAGCTTGAGTGCTTCTCCTGTCACCTGGAGATCATTCAACATCTCTTGAGACCATGCAATGATGCTACCAACTGACTGCGGTGTCACTTGATCCCTTTTCTGCCATGGTTGAAATGACACTGGGCGAACATGTGGGTCGTGCATGAGAAGTGCAATGCAGAGCCATCGGAATCTGGTTGAGGCACACTGTTCGGATGCATCTACTGTTCTGGTCCAGTGGAGGCGATATCCGGCTGCTTGGATCTGATTCATGATGTACTTGGCATCCTTGTGAATGGGAAACCCCGCTACTTGCTCAATCACTAAAACCTTAGGACGGAGCATTTTTGCAATACCTATGGCTTCAGAAAACAGGAGGCCACGTTCATCTCCTAAACCTTGTTCAGCACCTGCCTTCGACCATGGAGGACACGGAGGACTCATGACAAGGACATCAGGTCTCCAGTAGGAGACTGGCACCTGCCATTCGGGATCACGGATGTCTGCACAAATGATGGTGTCAAGGCCGGATGCAAACAAATCTGTGCTAATCTGGGCTTTTCCTGAAATCATCTGTGCACGGTGGGTGGCTGCAAAGTTTGCAGCGGCTCTGACATCATGTTCCACACTGATGGTTTGGATAGGCATGCCGGTTTCTTGCTGAATGAGCTTGGATGCAAAAGACCAGCCCCCAATTCCTCCTGCAAACATTTCCAAAATACGTAAAGGTCCTGGCCTATGCGCATCAAAAGAAAACATCTTGGAAAACTCATCAATTTCCCAGTGACATGTGGAGCATGGGTATGTCTGTTTGATATTCCAAATCAGCACCTTTCCTGGCTGGAAGAATGGCTTCATCTCAGCTGCTATGGAAAACGTCTCTGGCAAGGAACTCATGCATGTGTCGGGACTTGGTGGAAAAATTCCATATCGTGCTTGTTCTGTTGAGGCCCCCTGTGGTCGCATCTGATACCCCTGTGCAGTGAACTTCTGATGATGAAAATCATGGTCATTCATGTTCTTCTGTTTGAAATCCACCAACAAATTGGTACGTGTAGCAAAAGGGTCCAGCCCCTGATTGTATGTGTCCCCATTGCGTAGAATGGACCAGAATGGATCCCAACGAGATGACATGGCTTTTTCTGCGGCCCAAACCCTGGCCGACAGGCTGCGCCCCGTGAAGGCAAAAGCCAAACAGCTAGCTATTGAAAATGGCCATTTAAAGTGGATTTTCCCATTAAACATTGTGATTTTCCATAGCTATGTTAGTTTACAAGAGGGTATCATGATATATCTACTGTAATGTGGGCAACCCAACAAGAAAGCTGCCATTTGGAGATGGTTGGAATCCCACCCATATAATAAAGATTTGGGGATGTAAAAAATGACATTGAGTTTCCCACATTAATTGTACTTATATAATTATAATGGTTGTTAATGAACAAATACACTATTCAGACTATTCACATCTATTCACAATTACTATTCCAAAAAATATACAGCAGATGATATTCCCAGGTTTTATCCTCTACGTTGGGTGGTGAAATCCCCTTAATGCTTGTTACCCTCTGGTAAACTAACATAGCTATGGAAAATCACCATTTTCAATGGGTAAATCCATTATAAATGGCCATCTTCAATAGCTATTTTGACATAACCAGGGGGTATAATCAGTTTCTAACTGGGGAACCCTGCATGGTTCCGAACGGTTCCGCACCCCAGCGCCAGGACCGTTTGGGCTGTGCATCAGGGACAATGGCTCCTTTGTGTGTTCACCAGGTCTCGGAACGGAATGGGAACCTATAGCTATTACCCTCTGGTAAACATATAAAAAGCTATTGAAACATGGCCATTTATAGTATTTATAGTCGATTTACCTAGAAAAAATGGTGAGTTTCCATGATTTTCCATAGTTATGTTATTTTACCAGAGGGTACAATGTTTTACAAGAACTTTTGGCACCCTTTTTGGTAGAAATTGGATTGTGTGTTTTTTTTTCCGGGGAAATCGATGGTTAGTATTGACACTTTTGATGTGCTATACATTAGCTATACTTCCTTTTTTTGAAAGAAACCATATCCTCATACGGCGCGAGTTCTTGTTGCTTTCCGCGGTGGAATCGTTTCTCTGTAAAGATCGGTTCTTGTTCGCAGCACCATTGTTGGTTGTTTTTCTATTTTGCTTTCTGTTTTATTATAGGAGGATGTTGATTGGTGATGAAACTCTCTCGTTTATCCGATGCACCATCCCAGTTGGTTTAGCCAAACTTCAGCGCAGATGACCTGTGCCTTGACGCTGAAAGGTTATAATATCACCAACCCTTTAAGGCCACTTTTCAAGGGGGGAACCATACAAAAATGCAAGCTACATTTTTGGGGGACCCCCCGTTACTGTAAATGTAAAATTGGTTGCTGAACGTCCCCCAGGTGTCGTTTTTGTGGGGAGCGTCTTCAAAATACCTTCAAAATGTAAGCTTACATTTTCAAGGCCCCCTCAAAAGCACCTTGAAAAATGTAGCTTACATTTTGGGTACGTCCCCCCTCTTTAAAACGGTGGTGATGTTATAATATGAATTGAAGATGGATATGGACTTGTGCTATGTGTACGTGTATGTTTTATGATGTTTCATGATGCTGTATGTGCGTATATATATATATACACATGTATATTTGTCCTGTGGATCCAAATACTTCCTAAGAAGGTATCTCTCACCCCTGAAGTCATCCTCGTAGCCAGTGAATTTTCGAACGTACTTTGATCCATGGGGATCATATACACATAACACATGATTCCTGATTATGTACATTGGGTATAGAATGGGTATATCGATATATGGTATATGATGATACATACCATGATATCCCCATTATAATCATTATATAAACACAATCAACCACCATAAAATATGATATATCAACCATCATGATATATATATATATGGGTATATGGGTACAGTACATACGATGGGTATATGAATAAAACATCCATACTTATATAATATATATATATATATGATATACATACCATGATTAAACATTATCTATGGTTAGATTATGGGATATCATGGTATACTATGGTATATTATTATAGTATATGGATCCATAGATTATTATACAGTATATGGTTATAGTATAATGGATCCATGATACACATATATTATCAATAATGTATATAATCTATATATACCATGGTATACTATGGTGTACCGGGTTCTTCAAAAAAAACAGCCATCCTGTCAAACTCATTGCGAAGAAACTTGCATGCCCCCTTTCCCCCAATTCAATGTTGTTACCTCGCTTTGCTTGGAAAAGCATTCAAAAAAAAACAGCCATGTCGGTTCGGATGCCGGCATGCATTGGGCAACAACATTGACCAAGGGGGCGCGGGGGGATCAGGTGTGATGTGACAACATGTAGGAGGATGGTTGTTAAAAAAAAAACGGGGAAGTCTTTTTGGTTTATGGATGTGCAAACACAAAACTTGAACAAATTCCCTTTTGCATTTGCCAAGACGTCAATCCAAACACGCTTTCATCTTCAACACTGCTACTCACCAAACAAAGACGCAACAGATTTGTTTTATTTGGTTTATGGATGCGCAAACGCAAGCTTGAACTAATTCCCTTTTGCACGTGCCGAAACCCCAATCCAAACACACTTTCATCTTCACATATATTTATTTATTTAATGATATACCATAATCTAACAATACAGTAAATAAATAAATAAATAAACAAATAAATATATATACATATATATATCATGTTTTATCCTTAGACTATATATAACCATAATATACTATGGTATATGTTTTATGGCAATGAGATTATGGTATTGCCTAATATTAGATATCATTTTACCCATTATATCTATATATTACTATTAGATTCTGGTGTATTCAATGGCTACAATGTGAGGCCCCACAGTTTTAAGTTGGTTTATACGCCCCAGTAACTATAGTTACAAGTGCCATAAACCATAGTTATTGAAGTTATAAACCAACTTAGCTATCTTGGGGGCCTCACATTGTACAATATACACATTAATGCTTGTAGTAATTACATGCAGGTGTATTGTCTATCATATATACATGGCTAAAAAAGTATCTAATATTATTATGGCTATTATTAAACATCCATAGACCATATATATCCATACTACTATATTACCATATTATGAAAATTCCTATGATGGTGTATTCCCATTATCTTTAGATTATTACTATTAGATGTTTACTATTATATTACTATTCTCTATATCTATATGGCTATGGATCAATACCTATTAATACCATGTTTAGGGGGATGAACATCCATTTACCAGCTATTTTGGTGTTCACCAGGGGTACAAGGTTTTGACACACTGCCATATTACTATCATGGCTATATATGGTCTGTGGATCCCACTGGTCGTCGCAGGTGGAACGATTCCAGGGCTGCAACTGCCCCCGATGGACTTCAGCGAGCCCAGGCGCTAGCACGGGCACCGGCTGGAGGGCTGGGGCTGGGACACGGAGAAACGTTTTTTTTTTTGGGGGGGATAGGGCTGGTGAATAGTGGTTAATTAATGGTGGTTAATAGTTGTTAATAGTACATATTAGTGGTTCATAATGGTTAATAGTTGTTATTCAATAGTGTTGTTAATAGTGATTAATACTTATTATTGTTGGGTTTGCCACATTCTGGTAGATAAAAAATCATCAAATACTGGGATGTAAGGTCAAATATATAGTTGTTTGGTTGCTTGGTGTACTGGAATGAAATGTCTTGTGTGTGTGACACTATCGGAATGTGCAAGCAAAATTGATCAACATTGTAGATGTTCATGAACTGCCTCAAGTGGACTCAATGTCTTCATCAACTAGAATGAAGGGACAACTAGCAATGATAGAAACAATCCTCCAACTCTAATTGGTTGCACGCAATTTTCCATAGCTATGTTTACTGGAGACCCAACAACAACCATTAGACTGGGACTGGGATGTCCTCCAGCCGCCGCAACCAAACATGGCTGGGAAATCCCGTTCTCAAAATGGGGGTGGTACTGGAAAAAACAAAGAATACCTGTGAAATTTTCTATACCCTCTGGTAAACTAACATAACTATAGAAAATCACCATTTTGAATAGGTAAATCAACTATAAATGGGGTATTTTCAATAGCTATGTTAAATTACCAGAGGGTATATTCCTTTACCATAGGGTAGTTTGAAGTTCAACTTCTTGTTTTGATGATCACTGAATCTTCCTCTGGAAATCGAGTGGGATTGACAACATAACTTTTGAGTGGGCCTCGAAAAGTTTCTTGATGTGATTTCCGAAGGTCTATAGGTTCCTTGTCTCTTCAGTGGTTTTGAATCATAAAATGTAAGGTTTCAACCACTTGAAAGGTGACCCCCAAATGATAACTGGTGAAGATGAACCCTTGTTAGTGGTTGTTGGTGTTTGTAAACACCTTGATTCCTAATGATCTCTTATTTCGGTGCGGTTCCTGGGGTTCAAGGGTATATTGTGGTGAAATTCTCTAACATTTTTATGGAATTGTTTTATGGAAAATACACGGTAGAACCTTATGGAAACTTCATGGGAAAACCATGGTTTCCTGTAGATTTTCGCATGGGAATTCCATGGTTTCCCAATGAAAAATTCCATGGCAGGCGCGCTGCATCCATTGCGGAAGCCCGGGCCCCAGGGCCCCAATCGACGCCGCCGCCACTGCTGTGCCGGTGCCCATGGTTTTGGATACCCGGCCTGGTAAACATACAAAAAGCTATTGAAAATGGTGATTTATAGTGGATTTACCCATTAAAAATGGTGATTTTCCATAGTTATGGTAGTTTACCAGAGGGTAGTAGTTATGAAGTTATCAGTGACAGGAAGCTTCACCAGGTGTCATGGTGAACGATTTATCCGCAATGGATCCGAAGATGCCCTAGATCCTCTACCTCCAGTCGTTCCCACTCCCGGTCGCACCTAAAGATAGAGCCTAAAGGTGTGAATCTACATCCAAGATGGTTGGCTTAAGTGATCCAAAATGTTGGCTTGGTGATCCTGGGACCTGTTTTTGGGTCACAAGGAACAATATATCAAACACTAGAGCTGATCAACTTTGTAGGTCGAGTTGAAGTTGTTGTGGTAAACTTAAACCCCTAAAGCGTCCCCAATTTCGACAGAAAATTTCTGCCAATTTTGGGGCTTGACAAGTACCCAATGTTGATCCCAATTGAAGTCTGTTGTGTCCAACAGCCATATATGCCATGTGCCAACTTTGCTGAGTCCTTCTGAAAATGGGGGATAGCATGGGATCCCCTCGAAATGGTAATTTTCAGAGGGAACACTGTGATTTTCAGCATGGGATTGTTATTTTTTGCAGAGAAAACCTTATCATTGATGATCGTGATAGTGACGGTGATGGCCTTCTTCTCAGAACTCTGATCATTATCATACTTTCCTTATTTTGGAGATCATGTCAATGCTGGTGACTTGATGGAGGTTGGCAGCAAAGTGAGCGATTTGGAAGAAGTTTGCTACAATCACTGCTATCAATATGCAATGTGCTGACTCGTTCAGGTTAAAAGAGCAGATGTAGCAGATGCCATTTCGAAGCCATCTGGGAAGTTGGTCCAACAAGTATCAACAAGTGCTCATGGCCACATCGATAATTCATTAATCATGACCTCAGATGACACTGGCCACAAGCGAGAGTCTACAGAATTGTTTGTTTTTTTTGCACCAGCTTTCCTGTTCCGGATGGTGAAATATGATGAAATATGGAAGTTTCCTAAGTCATGGGGGCTCCACCCCCAAATCATCCAGTCGTCACGAATGACCATGACTTCGTTTAACGGTTAACCTATGGTGACGACTGGATCCCCCATGACCAAAAAGAGAAGTCCCACCATACCCTGGCTCGGCCCCACACTGATGCCATGATGCCATGGCCCGCGCAACATCGTTGTGTTTTCCACGGCAATGTTTGTTTTTTTTGGGGGGTTTTAGAATGGACATGTTTTGATGGTTTTTCTGGTGGTTGTTCTAAATCATGTTCTGAATCCAAACCAATTTTCCACCCTGTTTGGGATGATGATCCAAATCGACGATTTTTGGAAAATTTGGGATGGGTTGAACCCACCAAGCAGTTTTTTTTCGTGAAATTCATATGGTTTAACTGGGATTTTAAATTTTAGTGGGGTCTCAATATGATTCACTCGCAGCTTGGGTCCCATACCCAGGTGGAATACAAACACGTGCTGCTCCTGTACACCCTGGAAGTTGTACGGCAGTGACGCGGCAAAACCTGCGGTGAGTCACCAAAATTGGTGCCGGATCAGCCATACTCTACCAGCAACACCTCCGAGCAAATCAGATCCCCCAATTTCTAGAAAACATGTTTGGTGTAAACCAGGCTGAGAGTTTTATGATGTTGTTATCCATTGTTATCCCATTTCATCCCATTTCCTTTACCAGTTCTTCCAATATCGATATTTCAATGGCCATTTCAGGAACCTAAATTGGAGGTACCTACCATATATAAGACCTATGTAAGGGGATATACCCCCAAAATATGGCCTTATATGGTGCAGTACCTCCATTTGAAGATCCTGAAATTCCCATTGATTATTGCTGTAGTGGACTTGGACAGCCCGAGGTCCGAAGCGATCTCCAATCTTTGCCTCATGTTTTCGGTGCTGCTCATCATGCTCATCACTTGTGCGGGGACCTGGTAGCTGCTGGGTTTGTCGTAAGGCCCAGTGACAGTTCACAGGATATAGACAAACAAGGGGAATACAGTAGCAAGGAAACAGAGGAATATGATAAATATTAATTTGATTGTGGCTGAATAATCATCCTCTCCTTCATCATCATCATCATCAGCATCATCACCATCAGCATCAGCTGGACAGATCGATGGATGGATGCATATACACATAGGAAATAGGTATAATATTGTATGATATGGGAATTGATTCACTCTCAGGACAGTCTTTGGACCCAGGCTTCGAGGTCAATCTTATTCGAAGCATTGGGAGTATCTTCGACCCCATGACGGCCATCAGGGAGTTTCCATATCTTCTCCCAGTTTCCCCATCTTCCCCCATCTTTGAATCATAGAATTGGATGATGGGAATTTTTTTTTACCGGAAAACCCGATCAATTTGATGGTAAAAACATGTAAAACCCATGGGTTTCCGGTGAACATTTTCCCAACAAAACCAATCCAGTGATTTACCCTCTGGTAAACTAACATAGCTATGGAAAATCACCATTTTTCATGGGAAAATCCACTATAAATGGCCATTTTCAATAGCTATGTTAAATTACCAGAGGGTAACCAGCTATTTTGACATAACCAGAGGGTAACCATGCCATTCATTTCCACATGATTTCCACATGACAAAAGTTAGTTCAGCTCCTCCCTTAGATAGATCCCCAAGATTCACCGTTTCGTGTGGGGATGATCCCCAAATTGGTCGAATTGGTCATCCGTTTGTTTTTCAGGGTGAAAATGGGTCAAAATCGCTAGTAAAATAGTAAAAACACAGCTTCTCCCGATGTCTGAGGTGATATTTTTTTTCCTATTTTTGGTGGTTTGGAACATGAATTTTATTTTTCCATATATTGGGAAGAATCATCCCAACTGACGAACTCATATTTTTCAGAGGGGTAGGGCTCAACCACCAACCAGTTCCTATTTTTGGTTGGTTACAGCCATCTTGGTCCATAGAAAATGATGCCGGCATGATCCATTTTGGTTCATAGGACGACATCGGATTGGTCCGACCAGGCTTTGTGATGAACTCCAGCGTAAACAGTGTGGTCCTGAAACCGTTCTGAAGCCCCAGTGATGGGAGGATGGCCCAACTCCATGATCTCTACCCCCCTAAGATTAAATCCCCCCATTATTGGGGCCCCCAAAATGAATGGATCCAATCCTAAACCCGTTTTTTGTTGGGGTGGAATTTAGTATTATGGTGATGGGATTTTAGTATGGACCCTGCAAGTGGGGGGTTGGAAGACGCTCCGCTACAAATCTTTTTTTTCGCAGGGTCTATAAATAGAATATGTATGAATATGTTCATTTATGTTAATTGGATTTAATTGGATGGTAGCATTCAAAAGTTGTTTGTTTGGTTTCAAAGATGTTGATCTGGGATGATCCCCAGAATCCAGATTCGGAGCCTGGAGATCGTTTCCCATTTTATGATATTTTATGCAGATGTCTTGGCAAGTGCATAATGACATCATGACCAGATATACCCTCTGGTTATTTAACATAGCCATGGAAAATCACAATTTTTTATAGGTAAACCATCTATAAATGGGCCATTTTCCATGGCTATGTTAAATAACCAGATGGTAAATCCCATGAAAAAATCCATTAAGCCACCATAAACCCTCATTAAATCACCATTTTCCTATGGTTTTCCTATGGTTTTCCTAGCAGTAGGACCACATCCCGTTGCGGACGGCTGGGAGGTTGCAACGTGTGGTTGGGGTCTTGCGACAGCACTGTGCCCGGTGTCCCAGGGTGTCCCAGCTGCCAAGAGAAGCCTCGCAAACTGCGGGGTAAACAAGGCTTACCCTCTGGTAAACTAACAGTTTGCTATTGAAAATGGCCATTTATAGTGGATTTTCCCATTAAAAATGGTGATTTTCCATAGCTATGTTAAATTACCAGAGGGTACCAACAATTGGCAATATGAACATGTGACTATTCTAAAATCATCTAAAATCAACATCATCTACAGAAGGATGTTTTGTCAGTTCATTGGTCACGTAAGTTTCGGCCAGGCAGTGGTCATGAAGCTGATGGGCACTTGGTAACGCTCAGCATATAGCCTATTCTGCAGCTTCTTGCGGTTAGATAAACCTGGTTCAACCCTTGGATATTCATAGCTTCACATTCCAGAATTCAGTGCTTCCAAAATGGTTGCAAGCGTTCTAAGCCATGTTTCCATCGGCCCAAAATAATTCAAAATTCGCATTTTCCAAATCTAAGTTTCCCAAAACATGTGTAGGATTTGACCATTCCTTGGGCCTTGCTATTTGATGTGTTAATCATGAAGTACTTAAGTTGGTGGCCACCAAAAATCCGGTGCGAAAGTGCGCAACTTGGCACCGGCGCAAAATCCAGCGTTTCGGTGTTCCGCATGGCTCCGCGAGGCTGAAATCATGAAGATGACCTTCGAAATTCCGCAGGAGCCCGAGGACCGGGTTTTCTGGGGATTCCACAGGGAACGGCTGGAACGGCTGGAAGGGCTGTTGGGGCACCACTGGGCTCATGAAATTTGTCAATTTTCTTTGGTTCCATATTAATTATGATTTATGATTTATGAACTTTTATGACAATCATTTTGAGACAAATCTACAGTAGGGGTCTCATTGAGTTTAAGGGATTTTGGCAGGAAACCGGCTGGTGAATAGTTGGTAAACGGATTGAGTTTAGCCATTTTGAATCATTTTGATGGAGGACTCCTGAAAATATCCCACACATACAGGTAAGTGACTTTTTGAAGGATAACTATGATTAGCCATTTTTTATCATTTTTTCAGGTAGAAACCGTGAGCATTCAATTGCATATTCAACTTAGTGAAGAGCCTAAGATGGTGCCATAATGCAATTTCTGAGGCCATCGTTGGGAGGGATATTCCCTTACAAAAGCAGTATAGACCAAAAGAGTTGGGTGCCTTCTGTATGTAGTTGCCAGGGTCGCTGCAGGGCGCCTGGGTGTTTTGCTGCGTTTTTGCTTTGTTTGCTTCTTTGGGACAGGTTTGGAGGTGTGGGGGGGGGTTCGGGGGGGGGGGTAATGGGTACGTCCTGTGTGGTTGCGTCTTGTAAACGCGCTGTGCACATGGTTTCTAACGTCTGGGGGGGGGTTCGGGGGTTTTTTTTTGGGGGGGGTTTTGGGATGGGCTATAAAACGTCCTGTGTGTTGCGTCTTGTAACGCGCTGTGCACATGGTCCACGTCTGGGGGGGGTTTTTTGGGGGGGGGTTTTGGGGTGGGCTAATACGTCCTGTGTGTTGCGTCTTGTAACGCGCTGTGCACATGGTCTTGTAACGTCTGGGGGGGGGTTCGGGAGGGGGTTTCGGGGGGGGGTGTTCTTGTAAGGTCTAATAACTTTCTGTCTTTTGCGTCTTCTAACGTCTTCAAGACGCTGTTGTTGCGATGCTCTGCACATGGTATCGTTACATCGTCAAGACGCCGTTGTTGCGACGCTGTGCGCATGTTGCTGTAACTGCTTCAGGCGCCCCTGCAGCTGGGTGGGGGGTTTATAGATAATTAAAAAATATGAATACATATATGGATATATATATATAAATATTTATGTCTGTATCTATGTCTCCATCTGTACTCTTGGTCTTGATCACGTGCAAACACGGAAGAGTTTCCAAACATGTTTCGTGGTTCATGTTTTAATTTACATGATTCTACATGTCTTTGGGGTTTCTGTCTTCCAATTGTCAATTCCACGTTGCAGATGATCTTTGGTGTTCGGGGAAAACATGATTGATGTCCATTTTGAAACGTTTGGGTTTTCCCATGTTACATGTTGGATTTACGTTATCGTGTTCCTGGGTTTTTTGATGGTTTGATCTGCTTTGTTTCGGAAGACGATCTTATCAGTCTTGATTTCAACGGGCACATTGGTTCGAAGATCTTCACTGTACTTCCCTTCATTTATCGTGCCATGTGTGCACAATGGATTACAAGACTTTGCACGGTCAGTTTCCTCCATGGCCATCTGACCCCTTGGATTCTATGTATGTGATTCTGATGCAGTTACCAATTGGAGTCTGGATTCCAATGCGACATCTGTTTGCCGTGTGCTCTGTCTTCGGACTTCCGCGGGTGCAGACATTTGCGTACGTCGAGTCTTGGGTGTGTTTATCTGTCGTGGAATTTTCCTCGGATCAATTGTTTGTTCGCATTCCGGTCAACAGTTCGTGCTTGCAGAAAGACCAATCTTCTGAGAGATTTCAATTCTTGAAACCAGCACCGCGTGCAGTCATTGACTTGGATTTAGAGAATGATGCTTTGTCTGATGTGGAAATGTCTCCGGTGCACCATGATGATTCACCTCATCACATTCGAGACAAAAGTGAATCGCACAAAAGACATCTTGGCATGTCCTTGGATGAGTTTCTCAGGCAAGAAGATGAGGCGCTGGCAGATATTCTGGGCATCCCTTCTTCTGTGACCTGTGGGGCTGAAATTGCTACGTCCTCAAGTTCCTCTGCACGCTTGGTGTCGTTTCCAACAGATGAAGAGATTCATTCCATGTTGCGCGAGGAAGAGCAGAGGACAATTGAGGTGGAAGCTCTGTCCACTGATCCTGAAGAAGTCGTGTCTGATTACAAGCCGACAAAGTTCGGACGGTGCACCACTTGCCAATACAGCCGAAAACCGCATCTGTTCCAAAGTGGTGCAAACGCTGGTCACATTCGCTTGGTGTGCTCACAGTGGTGGAAGCTGATTGACGGTAAGAGACAGTGTTGGACGTCGGCACCATTGTCAGACGATCTGTGGCCAAAAATTCCAAAGTACTTGAAAAATCAGCATGCGAAGCTTCGAGCTTCATTGTTGCGCAATGGCGCCGCTCAACGAAGTTGGAGCAAAGGGTCTGGCAGTGGCTTTGGCGCCGCACGCACTTGCGAGGCAACAACTCAGAGAAGTTGGACGCAATCCGCAAGCTGTTTGCTGACTGAAAGTAGTTTTTGGAGTGGAAAAAAACGCTCTTGCGCATCTGCAGCCACAATTCCAATGGAATTTACATGACGGTACGTCTAAAACAACCAGGCGCCCTGCAGCGAGGCTCCCTAGTTTAGTTAATTGAAATGGCCATGCAAGCAGTCCAAACAAAACATAATTATCTCTACAATTTAGATCAATTTAGCATGGCATATTATCAGCATTTGTCCATGTATACTGGAATTTGAATCCCAACTGAGGACCAAATATTCAATATCGTAGGTGCGGGAAGGCATTCGGGCAGGTGAAGTTTGAACCAAGATCAACACCAGGCCAAGAATCTTGTTTGTAGCTGTTTTCGTTGAATTCAATCTTATAACATATATATATATAATTCGAGCAGGTGAAGTTTGAACCAAGATCAACACCAGGCCAAGAATCTTGTTTGTAGCTGTTTTCGTTGAATTCAATCTTATAACTTATATATAGATAATTATATATGATATGATTCTATGTTAATATATTTTTATACATGCATAATATTGATGTGTTGTTACACACACACAAATACAGTGACAGCAAAGGCAACAACAAGCCCTGCAGCAGATGAAAACATATTCCAGTTCCACCACCAATAACTAGCAGCGGCACCCACTTCATATAGACGCGCGTTTGCATTTACTGCAGGTTTTAGCTACGGCTTCAAACATGAAAGATAAAATGCAGGGTTTCAGACTATTTAGATAAGTCATAGTTTTAAAGACCAAACAAGAAGCGGCACGCAAGGAATTGCGATTTAACATCCAAACCAGGAACAAACATTTTGGCAGACAGTCATATATGTGTATATTATATATATATATAATCATATATGTACAGTATATACCTTGGCGCGTCTTGAATCCACTTTTTATGGGGTAGCCGGGTAGAATCTAGAACCGTATTGTTTTGGTTTATTCTGGAAACATATTGTATTTTTAGCAAAACATATTTTATTTTTTTAAACCTGAAATTTGGCCGTAATTTATCACTCATTTCCAGTAACCAAAACATTTGTTAGAAAGAACCGGGTGATTTTCAACAAACCTGCATCTTTCTTGCCACCACCCAAAAAAGATCAAAACAGTAGGTTCTGAAGGCAGTGGGGATTGTACACATACAGTCACATACACACAAACACACACACTGTACAATCACACAGACTGTACAATCCTTCGGAAAGTGTGTCGCCGGTTTATTCTGTTTCAGGAGAAAGCTGGGCGCAAATCTTCCAAGGATCTCTCATCCAATGCAGATGAAAACAAGGACACCCCGGGGTTGTCCCATGCAAAATGGTGGATATACTACCTGGTTATTCACAGCTGTGGAACATGGCAATTTTTTAGATGATTTATGATTTACCTATTTAAAAAGAGGCGATTTTCCATAGCAGGCAGCTGGTAGTACCTGAATGATGATGAACCATCTTATTAGAGAGTGGGATATGATAGGATGTACCAAACATTACCCAACAACTGGGTTGGCCCAGAAATGATGGTTCTACCGTTATACCCCCAGCATATGGATATTGAAAAATTGGGGCAGTGCTGGCAGTGGGGTTTAAAAATGCATTGAATGTCACATATACCGATTCTTGGGCGAGTCGGTCTGCAACCTGCATGATATATGCATGATATTTGCATGATATATGCATGATATCTGCATATATCATCCATATATCATATAGCTTTGTATACTAGTTACTAGTGTGTGTGTGTGTGCATTTATCAAAGCTCTAGTGACTCTAGTTACCTTTGTTCCTGCGCATGTTTTATTTCCCATCCTTTCCCTGAAGATAATTCTTCATCCTTGGAGCTGGCCATGGAAAATCACCGGGCCGTGAAAACAAGTCCAGTTGTGGTCCCTTGGGTTTTTGCCAGCTACCAATACCCATTTCTTTGTAAGAAAACATCAAAACATTGCTGATTTCTCCAGCAAAGATCTTGGGATGTTTCATATTCTGACCCGGTCGAGATCCAGAGACATCATGCGCAGGAGCAAGAAGTCGAGATGTTAGAGAAGGTCGAACTTACCCACCATCCCAACCCAACCCACCCCATCCCATCCCATCCCATCCCATCCCATCCCATCCCATCCCATCATCTCATCTCATCAGGGAATCCGCGAAGAAATCACTGGCACTTAAGTGGCGGCATTTTTTTTGGCGCAAAAGCAACATTGATTATGGGGGATGTATGGATTATGGGATATTATGGGGGTATAGCAACCAAAAATTGGAAAGCCTGTTGGTCCAAGAGTGTCAACCAGCTATCAAAAGTGTCCGACAGATGTTTTTGGCTGGCAACCATGATCGAACAATGAGAAACCCAAACGACGTAAAAGGGGCCGTTTCATTCAACGAATGTCTACCCGCAATTTGTGGTGTTTGTGTCTCACCATGGTTGATGGTCTCTCCAAAACCAACCAGTTTTCCCATGGTTTTCCCAAAGATTGCTGGTGAACTCACCACTTGTCAACCTGAAATTTCCGGGAGGTCGATGGTTTGGATTTTTTCCCCAGGGCGCAAGAATTCTCATATTTCCGGGGGCTGTGGGGATTCCAAACCAGCCCCAGTTGACCATTGATTGACTATATGTGATGTCATAGATTGTCATAGTGTCTGTCATAGTGTCTGTCATAGTGTCACTATAGTGTCAGATTCCTAGAATAGCTGACCACCAACTATAAACAGGAATTGGGATCAATCTAGGATAGCTGGTGGTTTATGGGAACATAAACATATAGAATAGCTGTTTGACACTTTTGGGATCAATCTCGTGGTTGTTCAGTGCCAGGTTTTGGTAAAGATTGTGCACATCTTTGAAACCGCTGTGCTGAAGACGCGTCGCACCAACAACGAGGTGGGGGCTTGACACTTGTGGAATACAACGGTATGATTGAACAAGATGTAGCTAGAAAATAATAGCTAGGCTACCACCCTCCTAAGAAAAAGCAACATCAGATCTATTTCCCGAAAGAAAGAAAAAGATGAACATTTCCCCCCAAAAAAACTGGTCGTTGAAATATGGGGATGCGTTTGAACCATTCAGAACCTGTGATACCATCTTTTTGGGGCATCAACATCCATTTACCAGCTGTTTGGAATTTTCACCCGGGTATCAGCTGCTGATAGGGGGATGGGTCAAAACCTTGTACCCCTGGTGAACCTCAAAATAGCTGGCAAATGGATGTTCATCCCCCTAAAAATGGTATTAATAGGTATTGATCCATAGCCATAGCCATATTTATATACCTTCCGTAATCAAACATAGCAATGGAACATTCACCATTTAGTTTGACTATTTTCCCATGAGCAAATGCCGATTCTGTGCGGGATTTCTCAGCAATCGCCATGTTTGATGACACGGGAGGGTAAAAGTAAATTGTATCATATATTCTATGTAATATACACCCTTATTATGGTTACATACTGATATATCCCATTAGAATCCCAAAAGTATCCCATGGTTTATCACCCTTTTCCCAATATAACAGAAAACTGCCACACAATGGGGAGAGATATTGATAATATATATCCCCCATTTTCAGGTTAGTCATAGAATAAAGATCGATCTATAATTATAGGATCCCTTCCCATTAACTCTGGTTTATCCCAATCTATTAGGCCATGTTAGGCCTAGAACCAACCATCCTGGGATCCCTTCAGAATGCTCAGGAAGAGGCTATGTTCCTGGACAATTTTGCAGGCACCTACGTGAGTGGCTGTGATCAAATCTACCCCTGTGGATGATTAGTTCTGGGCTGATACTATACAAGATATTAGAGTCACTAGAGATGCTCACAATCCATATGAGGAAATGTCTTGTGACTTATCCGGTTAAACCATCTATCGTCCCTTTAATCCATAGAGTCATTAGTTCAAACCAGATGTTCAGTCCATGAACTGGGAAATCCGTTCTTAACCGAGCAGTATCTTAACTGGTCATATGAGGATAAGACAGGATAAGACTTATATACTTTTATGATCCAGAAACAAATCTTATCAACATGCACTTTGTTGCGATGATGAGGCCTGATGGGGCGTTCAAGCAACATTTGCTATCAGAAACCAGCTGAAGCAGAGTTCGCTGCAGTGTCTTAAAAACTCCTAGACAAGTAAAGTTGGAGCTAGGAACGATCTTCAGGTACCCTCTGGTAATTTAGCATAGCTATGGAAAATCATCATGTCTAACAGCAAAATCATCCATGAATGCATTTTCCTATTTTTTGGGTGTCACTATACTGTGATGCATGATTCTATGGCAAATTTCGTGAAACAAATGAGTTTGCATTCTATTAACTTATCCTCACTTGGCAATGATTTCTTGACCCCAGATAGTGATACCCCGATACCTCGCCTGGTTTCGATGGAGCTTGAGTTCCCCTTCTCCCTGCGTTTACTTCTCTGGAATGGTTCAGGGTAGTCATCTTCATGATGGTTGGTGGTTCGGTTCAGTCATGACCGTTGAAGGACGATACAATCACAATTGGGTAGGGTTCAAAGTTACTCCCTAATGTGGATTTTCTAGACGACTATTGAGCCATTTTGTGGGTCCATTCATACCACTGTTTAACAATCATACCGATACCAACCAAGCGACGTGGGGTGCTTCGCGGCAGCGACAAGCTGTAGCTGTGTACAGCTGTCAGGTGTAGAAAAGAATGACAAGACACAGGCACCGATCATGCCAGCGACCCAGATTTAGAATGGCTAGCTGGGAAATCTCCGAAGATGGATGTTATATGTCTGGGAAGACTGGGGAAGATCATTGAACTATTTCTGGGGGATTTTCCAGTCATATTTGACACTGGAGGGTATTCATATCATGTGCTCCATGCAGTTTCATTGTTGAGTGTAGCCTATGGTACCTCTTGTGTATTGCCACAACAACGCCACGCTCCATGCCGTCACATCAGATGGGTCTCTCCAGCCGATGTCCCAGCCGAGGACGCTGCAGGGAGCTGACAAAAGTGAGGACCATTCGTGTCTCGGCGATGGTATGGGTATTTTCAGTCGACAACTTTCATGTGGGGAGAAATTTATGACAACTCCATTGTTGGTGGGAAGATGATCTAGAATCTTATTTAATCTTATATAATCTTATATAATCTTACATAATCTTATTAAATAATCTTATATACATGTATATCCATTGATGCATAGAAACTAAATAACAATTGATATATCATGATATATCCACTTTGGCGATGGATATTTACAACCCTTCAACATTTCCATTGCCAGGTGGGACAACGAAAACGGAGGCTTTTTCCTGGACATATTTGACCACGCACATGTTATACGCTTAGTATATGCTTAGTATGAGGTTTCTCTCATGTCCTACGAAATACATCACTTCATAACTTCTTGATAGTTTTCAACGACATCCCCCATGTGGTATAACTTGGGCCCCAACAAAATACATTAATCTATTTCAAAACAGAACATGGTTTGATACATCTCCATCTCTATCCCTGAAGTTAACTCTGTATCTATCTATTTGTTTGCCTGTCTGTAGTGACAAACCGCTTGGCTTTTTTGCTCCATCGCCGGATCGCTGGCGCTGAGGGCTGGAGTGAGTGCAGAGATGCGGAAACAATTGGAGCATCGCAGCCTCAACCTCTTTGAGGCGACGGGAATGGGATGACCTATGCTGGGATGACCGGAAAAATCAGGGATGTCATGAATCCGTGTGGCATATCCCATTTATAATATCTATAAAGCATGGAAATGCCTGGAAAGACCGGGAAGGAGTTTGGTTGGTACTGGGATGCCGCTTGATTTAGCCATTTAGCCTTCAAACATGAGATGCTAATTATCTCCCAAAATGATCAACCTGTTGACCTCCTTTTCTGCCAGTGAATCAATTGATTGACCAAAAGTAAAATCATGGTAAATTGTATGCCAAACCGATTTATTCTTGTAAGTCATTGTTGGTACAGTAAATGGAAAGTTACTGATTTACATCCCAACATATCTCAGTTGTTTTCGGGCTTGGTTTACTACCCTTTAAACTCCCTTCAGTCGGATTATGCCGTTTTTTCCAGCTTGACAGAGTCACAGAAGTCAAGTTCGGACCATTTTGGTGAGTTGAAAACCACGTTTAAACCCAATGCTAATATCCGAACCTTTCAACAGACCCATCAAAAATAACAAAAGCATCACCATATATCACCATAATATGAATATTCTTGGTATTTGATCATTTTTTTTCACTATTATATCCCCATGATATCCCCATTATCTCCATATTTACCATATATTTCATATCTATTTCATATACAATCTGGTTATGACTAACAGTTTGCCATGGAAAGATCCACCATTTTCAAGTTCGGTAAACCATCTATTTCGATTAGGGCCATACCTTAAACCATGGCTAGCCCTGTGAATGTCATAACCAGACAGGAGCCCGACGAGATGCAGCGCCGAGTGGCGTTGTACGTCATGACCAACACGCGCAGCTGTCGACGATGGGTCAGGCGATGCGGAAACGGTTTTTTGGACGCGGGAAAAGCGATGCGTCTGACATGAAAAAGGGACCTGGATGGCCGGAAGGTGGAAGATGGTGGAAGATTTGGCAGTTTTTGAAGCGAATTCTTTGGAAAGTCATGATGATTTAGATTGATGAAATGATTGATGAAATGATTGATTTAGTCCGACTAGTCCCTGATGTTAATTGAAAAAAAACAACAGTTATGCATCGAAAGTAGCGAGTTGTTCATCTTTGGGGATCACATCTTCCCAGGAGTAATGGGAGGTCCATCCTGGCGATAGTTTGAGAATGGGGATACCTATAAAATGATATAAAATGGCCGTGCTTCTTGGTACTAAAAAATGATGAGAATTTTGGGGTACCCCATTGACACACCCAACCTCTGACGACTTCTCGTGAATGGCTCACAACCACAATGATGCTCTTGCAGACAATTCATATACCCTCTGGTGAACTAACATAGCAATGGAAAATCACCATTTTTCATGGGAAAATCCACTATAAATGGCCATTTTCCATTGCTATGTTAGTTCACCAGAGGGTAATATCTATCTACATTGCCATGCTGATACACCAAGCTCGCTTCAGACCCTTTGCATTTTCTTGATCTCAGATCATAAACAGTGAACAAATTATCAATCCTTGACTTCTGACTTCCTGATATAATGAATCATTAATAACTTATTCCCCATTTCGGTTCCCCGCAGGTCGTTTCGATGTAGGACCTCCCTGCACCAGGGTTGCCATGAGTCATCCTAAAATCCGATCAACTCCCAGTAGATTCACAGAAAGTCCCATGTTTCTGAAAATTTCCACTAAAAGTCCTGTAAATTCGTAAATTCGTAAATTCCTGAATAAATTCTCTAAATGTCCATAAATTCCAATAATTTTTGCTGGGTAAAACACCCATTAAGCAAAGTCTGCCTTTTCGCTTTGCCAGGAGACAAGGCATGCAGGAGACGCTCATGAAGTTCATCACGGTGATTCAGAGTCCGGTTCGCGGCAGACAGGGTAGCGACATGGCGAATATGAATGAACATGACCCATTTATAGATGTTAAACATATTTAAAGATGATGAATCTGGGTAAATTATACCGACCTCACTGTTCTCCCTCACTGGAATCATGGTTAGTAAGGAACATCATCCCCAAATGGCCGAACTATTCAGGTTCGTGAAATATTAAAATTTACCCAGATGAATTTTTGCGTTCAGAAAACATGGAATATTTGCCATGGCGATTGAATCGTTTCCGGTGGATTTGATATGATTTGATCACGATCTAAATGGAATGGTGATTGGGGCAACTATCCAGCACTTTTCAGGTCAAACATAAACATAGGGAATAGTGGTTAATGGTGGTTGAAAAAGTGGTTTTCATAGGGTATAAACCAACAACAATGGGAACATGATAGTTATATAAATAACTGGTTGGTGGTTTGGAACATGACTTTTATTTTCCCCAAGCAGATTGGGGATGATGATCCAATCTGACGAACTCCATCATTTTTTCAGGGGAGTAGGTCAACCACCAACCAGTAAACAACTTCATCCAGATATACTTCATCCAGATTCCAATATTCATATACATATATATATATATATAATATAATTATATTCATATATGTACCATTATTATGTACCATTATGTACCCACGAAAAAAAAAAAAAAACATCCTTTTCGAAAAAAGACATCCACCTAAAACAAATGAATTCCTTTAGATCTAGGGGATTCCCCAGACTGGCACCGGACTTGGTGACTAATCCAATCCCCCAGAACTGGGCCACTGGGCCACTAAGGCATGGCACTGAATTTCATGAGAAAATCATCGATCAATGGTGGATTTTCCAGCTTAAGCCATGTTTGATTACCAGAGGCTATACTGATTCATGATGATAATTCTGCTGTGTATATATACTAGTGACTAGTGCAGCCTACATATCTTGTTTCATCCCATCCCCAGTGTTAAATACACCCTCTTCCAGGAATAGATCCAAAACCAGTGACCAAGGTTTACTTTTTCAAGGTTGGAATCTAGCAATATAGCAATAGTGGAGGGATGCGAAAAATCTGTACACTAAATGCATCTTAGCATCCCAGTAGGACTCGAAAACACTTCACAGAAAGCACCCGGGGCGTTTGCGTTTCTGCTTGGCTGCCCCCGAGGCAAATACCAAGCCAATCCGTTTCATAACTTCGGTCATGGGCCGAAGACTCAGAATTTTACTTACATTGGGATCATGAAGGGTTGTGGGAGGTTATGGTAGATTGAATCGATTGAATAATGAATCTATGAAGGATGTAATATCTGAGTATTGAATCTATTGAATATTCTATGAGGTTATAGCTTGAATAATGATTGAGCCATAAATGAAGGGATGTAATATGGCTATCGATATCTATCGATCAATACCTACGAATACCAAAAAAATAGGTGGATTCACAACCATTTGCTAGCAATTTGGATGTTCACCAGTGGCGCAGGGTTTTGACTCACTCTTCTAAGATTTTCCTTGGGCGGTCCTACCATCCCTTTTTTTTGAGAGGAACCAACACAAAGTTGCTCTTAGGGTAATCAACAGAAAGATTATAAGATATCTTTGGTAAGCAACTGAGATACTATCTCCAACTATACCAACTGAGGTTGTTCAGAAGTAACCATCAGTTGGTCTCTCACGGTGGGTCGCTAGTTTGATATCCCAAGGTCCATCACTGTTAAATCAACTGGGATCAGTTGAGGACTTCAGTGTTCCACAGTATTCCCCAGTTAATGTTATTACCCTCCAGTGGCAGATAGGGGCTGGAAGATTAGTTTCCACTAAACATGTGTTATTTTCAGGGTCTATGTTAAGTTATCAATGTTATTAATTATCATGTTTATTGTGTTTGTTCATAACTTGTGTTTTTGATTTTGTATCACTACTTGTAGCCATTCTTAGTATTGCTCTTATCATGATCAAAACATGACAGAACTTGTATATATATATATACACGCATATGTTCGAAGATATTGTCCAGCACATGTAATTACACAGTAATTATTTGTATTTTGGTTTTCGGTCTTTTTCAGACAAAAAACATTAGTACATGATTTATATGATATATTTAATACATACCCTCTGGTTATGACTCACAGTTCGCCATGGTTTTTTGCCATGGCCCTAATCGAAATCGATGGGCCATACCGTTCTTAATGCTGGGATTTTTCCATGGCAAACATCCCCATGGATTCCCCATGGATTCCCCGAAAATCTCCCGACCAAAAGGTTGGACGTGCTGTCCGAAGTCCGGCTGTACCTGCATCGAATCAACTCCTACACCATCTTCTCGGAGGCTGTTGGGTGGGTATATGATAGTGATGTAGCAGATGAACACTATATAATCATAACACCATATAATGTTATGCGAGAAGATAGTGTTAATATGTATCAGATGGGTATTATAATAATCATATATATAATATCATATTAACACTAGTATATATTATATATATATGATTATATATGCGAGAATATGTACATATATAATATTGTATTCAGATTTGGTATATTATCTATATACATATATATATATATATTATGGTGTATAGTCAACTGAGAAGGGCTTCACAAACAACACTGATAAAGAAATGTTTGCTTAAACATGTGATAAATTATTCTGAACGGCCAAGCTGATAAACGCCAGTTATTTCCATGAATTTCCGGCCGCATTTCACATGTTTGTGCCTTCGCAACGCTTCATTTTGGCTTCTCTGTCTGCAAAAATAGGGGTACCCCCAAAATTCCTCATTGTCCCTATCATAATTGCTACAACTTGGAGCAAAACCTCCATTTCTGGATAGACCCTGTGATTTGTTGTGTTGGGTTAAGATAGGACCTCCAATTTTTACAGTTACACAGCGTAAACTCAACTGGAACCACCAACAATTGTGTTTGGAAGATGATTTTCCAAACGTGGACATAGCTACTTGTATAAACTATAAATATGGGCTTTGCACAATTTTTGGGGGTGTAAATTCCCACAATGTTCATTGGTTACCATAAGACATACATAGAAAAACTATGGTGGAAAACTACAATGTGAGGCCCCCAAGATAGCGTTCAATTGGTTTCTAACTCCAATGTCACTATGGTTTATGGTACGCAAATAACGAACTAGTTACTGGGGCGAATCTAAACCAACTTAGCTATCTTGGGGGCCTCACATTGTATGGTTTTCAGAAAACGATCTAGAAATCATAGAATTGGATGATGGGGAAATTTACAGGAAAGCCCTATATTTGATGGTAAAAACCATGGTTTCCTGTAAATTTTCTCTTAAACCAACCCAATGATTAAAATTTCATGGTTGTTACCATCCGCACCTGGGGCTGGTCCCCCTGGGAGCGAAACCAGGTGACGGTCTTTTGGCTGTTGGTAGCTGCCCTGGGCCATGACGTGAATCACCTGGGCGTGAACAATCAGTTCCTGGCCCGGTTGCCCAACCGGGAAAATCAAGTGATGCTGGAAAATAACAGGAACATATATGGAAAATAATAGGAACATAGAAAAACAAACTACTGAACATATGAGAATCATTTAAAGTTGAATATTGCCGTACCAAATTACAAAGTCACAATCCCAGACCAAAAGATTAAGCGCTGTGTTTGTTTCTTATTTATAATGGCCTGAATACAAACTAGTATTGCTGAGTTATTCATAGCTAAAATCACCCAAGTTGGATATGGCAAAGTTACTAAGGAATCAGCACACAATTAAACATGCGACTTAAAACCTGATACGCATGGGGGTTTCACATGTTTTTGTTGTTTTCGGAATACACGCAGACTGGTGAAGGGCTTTGACATTATATAGACATGTCTTGGAACACCATACAGCTACTTCAATAAGCTGCCAGTCGTTAAGAATTCTACAACTTGTTGGATCAGACTTATATCCCCAGTTGGTTCAGGGTTGCAATTTGCAATTTGCAGGATTCACATCCCAAGTCTTTTGCGAAAGCTGACCATATCAGGCCGGTCAAAAGTTTCTGTTAAAATTGGACACTTTGCCATTTTCCAATTTTCAGCGGTTTTTCGCATTCATTAAAAATACGATTTCTTTCTGGCACAAAAATTCAGAGCAGATGACCTGAACGGTTAGCTTCCCAATGGGTAAGCATCACCCAACGGACCTTGCGCTGAAAAAAAGGTCACCTCACAAAATCCAGCCATTGCTCCAGGTCGAGACCTCTCATGCACTGGCTCTGAAGTGCGCCACGTTTTCAGCATGCGAAGCGCTGGGCAGTTGCTATCCAAGTTGTTGGGATGGGAAAAAAAGGGATGGACCCCCCAAATGGCCACATTGAATCACATTGAGCCATATTCATTGGTGAAAATATGGAACCAATTGGAACCATGTATATAGAGTATGCAGAGTGTATTTGAGATGGGTTGAGACCATTATACAGTACAGCTGGTTGCACAGGCAATTGTCTGCGGGGAATTGTCTGAGGTCTGAGGGGTCTGGCCTGCAACCATTCTAGTGCACTTTGTTCCCATTTCCCAGCTCTATGAGCCTGAACCCCCAATACCATTCCGACCATTCCCCAGATGCTCCATGTATAGTTTTGCACTTGCCAGATCATACCACCATTGGTGGACTTGCATAAAGATTTGGCCCTCGTATTTGGGAAAGGCCGAAGGAGTGAGCCTGGGGAGGTACAACGACAAGTCGGTCTTGGAAAACCTGCACTGCTCCACTCTTTTCGAGGCAAGGATAGCTAGTCCAAACCGCTGTTTGGCGGAATTCGTGTCATATTCATGATATATTTGATTATATACATATCTAAATACATGTCCTTAAGAAATGTGTGTATATGATATTATCTATATACATGTGTATTATCTACAGTACATCTATAATTATGTATATATATACACATATGTGAATATTTTATAGTTATACCATGTACTGTATATAATATATCAGCCCAATATATGTATACATCAGCCCTGGGTTTTTTCAACAAGCCAGCAATGCACTGCTGACACCAGCCCCACGTTCGCCCCAGGTTCTCAGTGATGCCTCCACCAACGTCTTGAAGGCGCGGCGAACTTCCAGGCAGTGGTCAATGGTCCTCGGTATGGTGTGTGGTTTGGTTGGTGCTTTACCACCCTTATATGGGTATGAATAAATACCTATTAATACCATTTTTAGTGGGATGAACATCCATAAATCCCAGCTATTTTGATAGCTAAGTTGGTTTATAACTCCAATAATTAACTATGGTTTACGGTACTTATAACATAGTTACTGGGGCGAATCTAAACCAACAAACATAACTGGGGGGCCTCACATTGTAGAATACATATGTATATATATATATATACACACTCATGGAATTTGGTCATGAAAACTAAAGAGGGATTTAACCAACAACCCCGGTGTTTCAATTAATCAAATGGTGATTTTTAACTAAGCAACTGGTGATAAAAAAACAACACACATGGGGGATTCAACTTTCAAACATCGGGTTTGTTCTACATCAAACGTGCGGATCGCGGATGCCAAAAGAGGTCCTTGAAAAGGCTGACTACAAGGTCGCACGTGCTGGCATCGTTGGGGGGCCCATCTTGGGTTTTTTTGCTGTGCCACAGCTGGGTTGCTTCGGGCAGAGACAAACTTTCCACGGCTCCAATTTTTCAAGGGTTGGTTCATGAGTTGGAATTGTTACCCTCTGGTAAACGTTTACATAACTATGGGAAATCACATGAAATCACCATTTTTAATGGGAAAACTCACTATTTCTATGGCCATGTTCAATAGCAAACTGTTAATTTACCGGAGGGTAAACCATGTTAAACCTCTATTTCTTCATGATGAAACCTCCATTTTTGATGGGTAAACCATGGTAAACCCTTCATTTTTGATCCCAAAGCACCGTGTAGAACGCTTCTGCGCACCCAGGTGGAGGTCATCCTGGGCACAGACATGGTCCGTCACAGTGAAGACATCAAGGTGCCGGGCCGGGCCGGGCCTGAGCGAATTGCTGTAGTTTCATAGAATTGGGAACCTCACACACCCACCAAAACTCGTGATTTTATTGGGGGGGAAGGAATCCCCATGGTTTGGAGGGTCCCCAATTTAGAGAAACACGCATATGATCGCATGCGTTTTATTTAAAATAACTCAGTTCGCATGTTTGGAGGAATGTGATATCCTAGTCCTAGTGATGGGATTTGGCAGCATGGCTAAAAATGTACCTATCGATGGTTCCATACCCATTTGGGATCCCAAAGAGGTGCTGCAATGTGTCGAGTGGGTGGGCCAGTGGGTCCTGCAACATTTTGCAACATATTTCCGCGGCTGGATATGAGAAATGCGACCTCAACGATCTCAAGGGACTTCAGTATATAGAGGGATTCATCATTCATGGATCATCCAAAATCACTTTGCATTTTGGTTTCAAATTATAGATTATCAAAATACATCAAAATACTACATACAGACAACTTTGATCAATTTTGCACATTTGATCATGTTGCAAATACAGCCACAACTTCAAGATGAACTCATCAGAGGAATTCAACCTTCAGCTGCCGGTCTTTGGAACGGTGTCCCTAACTCCGAAAGAATCCATCCCTGATGAAGCAGAGTAAACTTGTCCTGGTTCGCACGTTTTCACTTGGAACACCAAACCGTTTACCCGAAAAAAGAACATCTGTGTAAAAGGTGACGGTGAAACCCCAGAACACGGTGCAGATTTCCTTGATTTTCATATGGTGCTGTGGAAAGCCTCGCTACTCGGCTGGCAGGCCCTGTCGATTGCCTATACGGTACACCAGGAGGCAGGATGAGCTGCTGCATGCTCCGGGATATTTTTACATGAAGCCTCTTTTGATGGGTTCACAACCATCACTTATGGTGGCTTTATGGGGGTTTAACATGGTTTAACATGTTTTAACCATCAACACCATGGGGATATCATTGATAAATGATGGTTGATAGGTTAATTTGTCGGAGGTTCTAGTAACTGGATGATTGGGGAGTACAGGGAACTAACCCAGAATAAGAATATCTATTAACTAACAGGCATAGCGGGATGTGATAGGGGTTCTTTTCTCGCTAGTGGGTTGCTTAATAGAGCAGGAAGCCCGCTTGAGCAACTAATGGATAAATGATGAAGAATAGTATACCAAACCCGACCCTGCGTTATTCTTGACAAGAGAAACATGCGTTCATGGTCATTCGATACTTTTATTATTGCTGGGCTATACCCTCTGGTTATTTAACAGTTCGCCATGGTATAGATGGCCCATAGAAATAGATGATTTTCCCAGCGAACTAAACCTCCATTTATTTTCGGGATTTTCCATGGCTATGTTAAATAACCAGATGGTCATTCTTCATGTTGCACGGTGATTTCAGAGATCTGGTGGATCCCCGTTTCTACCATGGGGGGATTTGCTCCACTGACACATGAAAATCGCGGTGCCCAAAAAACCCCGTAGAACAGTGCCCACATAGCCACCAGATGACAGTGATTCACAACAACATAAATATATAATAATATATATATAGGTATGGATCAATACCTATGAATACCATTTTTAGTGGGATGAACATCCATAAATCCCAGCTATTTTGATGTGAACAGAAGGGGTACAAGGTTTTGACACACTGTTTAATCTGTTGAACCACATGGGATTTGAATCTACCCTCTGGTAAAGGTTTACATAAAACTATGGAAAGATCCACCATGTTCAATGGGTAAATCCACTATTTCTATGGCCATTTTCAAGTTCGCAAACTGTTAGTCATTACCAGGCCGGGTAAGTCCCATTAAATTCCATTAAACCACCATAAACCCTCATTAAATCACCATTTTCCTATGGTTTCCCTATGGTTTACCAGGGACTACTGGGTTCCCTATGGATTTTCGTGACATTGACCGCAGCAGAGTGGAGGCCTTTGCAGCAGCTGCGCGGGAACATCCTCAAGAGCTTCTTGGACCGAGAGGAGAGGATGCGTTTCATCCAATATGTATATAGAATGATATAGATATCATGCTTACATTATATATTTACAGCAGTATTGTATACTTATATATATAGGTATAATGTAATATAATTATATATAATTATAAATGTGTTTATGCATATATATATATATACATATTGACACCTTTACAATTATAGAGTATATATATATACATATTATATCTATGTCTATATTACATATATATATATATATATTACATATATATATATAGATATTACATATATATATATATTACACATATATATACTATCAGGGTACATCGGTGCATGACCATTTTGTCACATTCTCGTAGCCATGTTTCTGGGGTCGTGAACAGGGGTGAAAAGGAGGTACCAGGCAAGCACAAAGAGAACACATGATCATCTTGAGGACTGCATGCAGTTTGAGTGGAGCAATATTACATTCAATGTGTGCCATTCATATGCTGATGCAGCTGCAGCCCCACCGGCCGCGGCTGATAGGGTTGCTGTGCTGAAGGAAGAGCGCAAAAATTTGAAACGCCAGTTAGCAGCAGCCACCAAAGAACTACAGAACCAGGAGAGTGCATGTAAATGCATGGATACGGTGTCTTTTCGTGAGTGCAGGTGGGACATGTGAACGCTGACCCATGTTGAAAGACATGTACTCCATAGCCTGCAGGAAAGGAAACGAAGACGTCTTCTACGACAAGCAGGAAAGCTGGATGTGAGTGAATTGACGTGGCTGCTGGCACGTCGCATGCATCCAATGGCAAGCCCGCATGAGTAGAGTCAAGCCGTGCACTATGTGGAAAGCGCCATGCCAAAGACATAGAGCGCTTGGAGTGAGAGCGGCCATGTGAAGGTTCGAAAGCACCATGCCAAAGGCATGGACACTAGGAGGGAAAGCTGGCAACCGCAGACTTGCAAGCGCCATGGTCAAGACATAGAGCGCTTGGAATGAGACCATGTCAAGGCTGAAAATCCCAATGCCAAAGGCATAGCGCGGCAGGAGTGAAAGCTGGAAACCGCAGACTTGCAAGCGCCATGTCGAAGACAAAGCGCTTGGAAGACATGCGCGGTCCAGAGACCCCATTTAGAAGACATCCAGGGATACAACGCTAGATAGACAAGATATCTCCCCAAGAATCTTCCCACACCCCACCTCCAAAACATCACCTCCCCAAGAATCTTCCCACACCCCACCTCCAAAACATCACCTGACCCCCCCTGGTATATTATTATAATTCCCAAACGGGGTATGCGGTCCCGCTCCTATAAATTCACAGGTAAAGTGGTCCCGCCGACGGCGGGACCGGTCCCCCTGCAACCTGGAATCGTGGGAATTCCCACATTTTGCGGTCCCGCCGCGGTCCCGCTGCGGTCCCGCTGCGGTCCCGCCTATAGTAATTGCGTACTGTCGCGATTTCATGTTGAATACAGCACTGAGTCCTAGTCAGCAGAAAGCCTTAGCCACTTCGATTCTATAGTTGGATCTGTTCTCTTTGGGTGTATGTCATGTTCTTCAATTCTATAGAGAAGTATTGGCAGAACAAATTTCCCACAACAATTCGTTCATCATCATTGATCATCCTTGTATATAATCGAAGAGGTTGACAGTGAAGACTTGGAGCCTTTGAGCTCTATAAAATTGGGAATGCATAAGGTAAGGTAGGCAAGAGCAACTGGAGCATTCAGGTCAGCTGTCAATGAATGACACTTGGGGAGCCTGATTTTATAGAAGGCCAACTAACCCCCCCAACCAAAAAACGGCTCTACGAGAGTGACTTGGGGGCAGCGATTCTAAAGAGATTGTCAACTTGAAAATACCTTGGGGTCTCTGATTCTATAGATGCATTTTCAGAAAGAGGGCCAATGTCTCCAGAATTATCACTATAAAAGTGTCAACACCGTGTGCAGCAGGTTGCAGGTGCGCTTGGGCTATATCACCCGCAAACGCGCTGTGGAAGCAGTCATGCAGCAGGAGAGCGAAAGTCGCCTCCGACGTGAGCAGGCCGAAGTGGTGGCTCAGCTCCAGCCATTGCAAAAGCCATTTTTGCCAGAAGTGGTTGCCCGAGTCGAAGACTGGGCCAAACAGTATTCCATTTTAGATTCTCGGTACAAACCTTGTGCTCCTTTGTGCCTCCGTATATCCAGAAGCCTCCTTTCATTCAAACTGTCCAGGGTGCCACGGCCGCTGAGTTACAACATTACGACAGAGATTCTCACGGCTTTATCCTGTTCGACAATTGCAATTCTATGTCCTTTGTGCTATCTCAGCGGGCCTTATTTCAGGCAAACCCAGACTTTCATCGCTTAGGCCAGTCACAGATGAACATATTCTCATATCAGGTTTATTTATTCAGGGTCCCCATTGTGATCACCATAGATGAATCAACTGACTGGGATGATGACGAACCATGGATTCGCGAGAATCAGCATTTGGTGCAGCTTACCGGCCCGTGTTATCATTTGGAGTAACAGCCTGCATGGGTTAGAGAAAGGCATGGCTTGGGTTAGGTTTGTGAAACCGCCTGCGGGGGAGATTTGGGTCTACAGCTGCTTGAACCCTCAATGTGCTTCTGCCATGTGGGTGCATGCTGCACGTGCATTGTTTCTCAGAGTTGCAAGGGTTCCTTCTAGGAGTTGCAGTCCAGGAGGTTGTGTTTAGGTCAGCATGGAGAATCTGTTGCAGCCGCCGCTCAGCCATCACTCACAGATTGCATGCAGCAGCTCTGTCGGGCCTTCGGTGTGGATCCAGCGCCACATGAGTCACAGGACATGGCTGTAACAGCACCAATTTTTCGCATTCATATGCCACAGAGTCACAGCCCAGCAACAGAAGGGTATAGGCTTCCATGCAAAGACATCCAAGACAGCACCCAGGTGGCCGCAGCCTTGCCCCATGGCTCACGCACCTGCGGCGACTCCAGTGGCTTTAGCAGAAACCATTGCAACTTTGCAAGCAGACCTTGCCAGAAACAGAGCGGCCGGAGTGCAAGCCAAGCATGCCAGATACCGAGCAAAGAAGGAAGCAGCCTCTGGAGGTTTTAGCCCTCTTGCTTGCAAAGCGATCGTTGCCGTCTATGTGTTGTCGGACTGCAATATGGAGCTAGCGCTTCGCTTCGCTGCCCTGTGGCCAGCAGTCAAGCCGACCTCAGGGACAACACGGGTTGTGGTGGAAGATTTGTTTTTGAGCACCACAGACTTAGACTTGCAGCACATTTTTTCACCTTCCGCGACTCCGTGGGCACGGCCAGTGCGGCATGCAGCCGCTTTTCTGGCAGAGGCTAACACTTTCAACTGGGTTCTGGCTTGCAACCACGTCGGTGTAGCACCGCTATCGCTGGATGTCTATGCCACGTGGGAGAAAGCGCGGTTTGGCAGCCTCCTGGAGGGTTTGCCGCCTCGCCGGCATGTGAATCAATGGGTGCAGCGCTTCCGAGCCAAGTGGAACCTGCGGCGCCGAGTCCTACGTCCACAAGTGCACAGGGACCCAGTCACGGTGCAGGCTAAGGCGCCAAGCACGGTCGTGTTTTTGCGACCGTTTTCCGGCTCCAAAAATGGGGCCGGGCAAGCTCATTGCAATTCGGACCTCCTCCCACATGGGGTCATGTTTTCCTAGCCTCCCTGCTCGGCTTCGCCCTGTCAGGTGAGAACCTTTTGGCAGTTACTCTCCTACTACGTGAACACGAAGTTTGTGGACAAGACTCCGCTGTTTTTGAATTTAGACGAACCTAGCATTCCCTACACCATGCTGCAATTGCCCGGCTGCGTTGCTTTGCCACGACATGCCAGTCTTCGCATGCCTGTCCGGAAACAAGACGTGCGAGGGGCTTGGACCTATGTGAGCATCATTTGTGATGCGCCGCATATTCAAGGCAAGTTGCCGCACTACCTTTTTGGGACTGAGACCAAGCTGACACAGAAGTTGCTGAGGGGCCAGGGGCGCTTGCCACAAACGGCGCTGCACATAGTACGTCAGAAAAGTGCTTGGACATCCTGCAAGAACATCACCAAGATTGTGCGCGATCTAGGCAAAGTCTTAAAACCTTATCCATTTCAACCTATCTTGTTGCTGGATGTTGCGTCCTCACATCTCGCAAAGGAAACCATGGGGTGCGCTCGGCGCAATGGTGTCCAGCTCCTGTACATACCAGCCGGATGTACAGACAAAATCCAACCGTTAGATATAGCAGGTTTCCACCCATTGAAAACACATTGAAGAGGAAGTACCAGGAACTGAGGGCAGGTTCCTGTGAGGGTTTGATAGACCCGTTAGCCTGGCTTTTTGAACTCATGCAGTGTCCCAGCTACTTTGCCGGCAAGAGTTGGGAACGCACTTTTGAATCTGTTGGTGCGGCGAAGCCGCCCGATACGGCGCACCTCCATACGGAGTTGCGAAAATTTATGGATATGCCACTGCATATGCCTCAGGCAGCAAGCCCTCTAAAGAAGCCATGCAAAGCATCTGGCCTGAGCGACGCCGTATGGCGTACGCGTACACGGCTCTGTTGTGACGAGGTGCGAGCCGGGAGAAAAATTGCGCGGCAGCGCACACATTGGCAGACATACTATCAGGGTACATCGGTGCATGACCATTTTGTCACATTCTCGTAGCCATGTTTCTGGGGTCGTGAACAGGGGTGAAAAGGAGGTACCAGGCAAGCACAAAGAGAAGACAGGATCATCTTGAGGACTGCATGCAGTTTGAGTGGAGCAAGCCTGTTGTTCGCCCGCCTTGAGTGCCATGTCCGCTGCTGATGCAAACGCCGCGGCCGCTGCAGCCCCACCGGCCGCGGCTGATAGGGTTGCTGTGCTGAAGGAAGAGCGCAAAAATTTGAAACGCCAGTTAGCAGCAGCCACCAAAGAACTACAGAACCAGGAGAGGGCATGTAAATGCATGGATACGGTGTCTTTTCGTGAGTGCAGGGGGGACATGTGAACGCTGAACCCATGTTGAAAGACATGTACTCCATAGCCTG